GGGTTTGAACCACCAGCCTTCTGGTTAGCAGTCAAGTGCTTTAGCCACTATGCTACCAGACGACACTTCAGAAATAATCTTGAAATGCTCTTTTTGATAATGACTCCAACACCATACCTCTTCAATTTATCATTCCCAGCCTAGTAGACCATATGACTGTCCAATTCAAAATGGCCAATAGTCCATTTCATCTCACTAACATTTAGGATATTGATCTTTACACATTCTATTTCATTTTTAACACCTTCCAATTTTCCTAGATTCATAATTCTTACATTCCACGTTCCCATTATTAATGGAAGTCTGTAGCTATTTCTTGTTATTGTGAGTTGTGCCACATAAGCAAATGAAAGTCCCAAAAGCTTTACCATCCACAACATTAAGGTCATTCTACTTCAAAGAGCCAGCACTTCTCTACTCTCATTCTGAATGCTTTCCAACCTGAGCAGCTCATCTTCCAGCACTATATCAGACATGTTCCATTGCTATTCTTGAAGTTTTCAGTTGCCAGTTCTCTCAGAAGTGGACCTGGCTACATCCTTCTTCCTAGTATGTCTTAGCCTAGAAGCTTCACTGAAACCTGTCCACCATGGATGACCCTGCTGATATTTGAAATACCAGTGGCAGAGCTTTCAGCACACAGCAACATACAAGCAACCACAGTATAACAAACTGACAGATGAGTGGTGGTAGCATATTACACTATATATACGTGTGTGTGTGTGTATATATATGAACATATATGTAATTATACAGTGGTTATTTTAAATATCAGCAGGTAAAGAGGACCTTTCCATCTGGTTAATCATTTGGGAAAACAATTAAGTTAGATCTCTACCTCATATCATACACAAAAAAACTAACTGAATTAAAATTTATTTAAGTATAAAAAAAAATACTAGAAGAAAATAGTTTTGTAATATTAGGTAAGATGGACTTCCAAAAAAAGGGACATAAAACTCAGAAACAGTAAAAAAAAATGCTTTTCTGATCAAATATATGAAATAAAATATGTATATGACCAAAGACACTATACACAGGTTAAGAGATAGAAAGTATCATAGCAGGATGTAGAAATTGTTGACTTAGCATGTTTTGTATATTTTCACCACAATTTAGAAAAAAAAAGTGTATACTAAAAAAAGTATCATAGCACAAAACATGTTTTCTACCTTAACAGAGAAAGATTAGTATACATTATATATAAAGAACCCTCAAAAATCTAGAAATAGAAACCAAGAGAAAATCAGACAAAAGCATTTCAAAAAAAAAAAAACCTGGATCTTACTACTTATCAGGCAAATTTTAAAAATTAAACAATATAATGAATTTTCATTTTTCCCATAAAATTGACAATAATTTTAAAGATTTCTAATATCTAATATTAGAAATAGGTTATACTACCTATGCCTATAACTAATAGATCACCATCACCACCACCAGCTGCCATTGAGCCAATTCCAACTTACAGTGAACCAGAGTGTTTAAGAGTAGAACTGCTCCATAGGATTTTCATGGCCATGATCTTTTGGAAGCAGATCAGCCAGGCCTTTCTTCCGAGACACCTCTGGGTTGATTCAAATATCCATCAGTTAGCAGCTGAATTGTTAAATGTTTGTCCCAGAGACTCCTGTAACTAGTATTGCTGCTGTTCGCAGGTACCATTAAGTCAATTTTTGACTCAGAGAATAGATCACCAGGTCTCTCTGTGGAGTTACTGGGTAGGTTCAAACCAATAGCCTTTATTAAAGTAAATTTGGCATTAGCTATAAAAATTTTCACTTCTAGGAACTACCCTACAATAGCATTCACCTATGTACACAAAGATGTATGTTCAGGAATGGTCAATGCAAGGTGGTTTCTAATTTTTCTTATAGTTAAAAAGTCCATAAAAAGGGGCCTGTACAAATAAATTATGGTAATTTCCTACTTTGGAAGACTGTAGACTTAATAAGAGCAGTTAACTATATACAGAGAGAAAAAATAAATGTCATCAAAGCTACAAGACAGGACATAGCACACAACTTCTTTTTCAGTGGTATATATATATACATGTACAACAGCATACACATGTATGCATACATATGAGCACATATAAGAAAAAAATTTTGAGAAACACGAATCGTCAGAAACACTCACTTTCTACATTATGTACAGTGCATTTGAATTGTTTGTTATACACCTACAATACACCTAAGGGGCCCTGGTAGCACAATGATTTAGTGCTCAACTGCTAATCAAAAGGTTGATGGTTCGAACACACCAGCCATTTCATGGGAGAAAGTTGAAACAGTCTGCTTCCATTACAGCCTTGGAAAGCCTATGGTGCAATTCCACTCTGTCCTACAGGGTTCCTATGAGTCGAACTTGACTGGACTGAAACTGGTTTTACAGGTATGTTACTTCTATTATTTTAAGAAATAAAGGGTTAAAGTTTATGGCCTAGCTATAGAAACTACAGATAATCCTAGCACTCACTTGTGGTTCTGGAAAATGTCCATCAGAAAATTTTGGTTAATGGATGGAAATATCTCGAAGAGTTGCTTCTCCTTCAGTTTGGTGGCAAAATCTTTTTCAAACATAAAGGACTCCCTTTTCTAAAGAAAAACATAAAAATCATCATCAAGATGGAATTTATAATGCTAATAACAATGATCCAAAAGCATGGTTACTGTGTTGCAAAAGACGATTTAAAAGCAATCACAGACTTTTATCACTGATTAAAGGCTGAAATTAGTAATAAAGTATGCCTGCATTACTTATTTATATGCCATTTTCTACAAAGTATTTGAGACTGCTCAAAAAAAATTATACATATATATACACACACACTAAATCACATATGTGTATGTATATATATATAATCACATACGTGTGGATGTGTTGGTATAGATATAGTTATATACTCATAAACACATACTCAGATATTCAAGCATATTTTTTAAAACAAGATTAAAAACAAATAAGTCAGACAGTAGAGAAAACAAAGGTAAGAATATAGGATAAAGCTGGCAAGTGAAATCAGTACATAAATGCATGCCATAAAATCCTGTACAACTGCTGAAAGTAGGCCACATATTTAGTTCTGCGCATCTTAGTGGCCAAACTAAAGCGGGAAACAAAGATTCTCAGTACTCATAAAACAAAAACCAGCTGCTCTAAAGTATAGCTTTTTCTGGTACTGAGATCTGAGAAATTTCTCTCCTAGGTCGCCACAAAAGGGACCCTGTGTGATGACATAAACATCCTCAAAAACCTCCTCAATGGACAGACTACAATATATAAATAAGTTTCAAATTTAGGTTAAAAGAAAATCTTAGAATTCACAATTACACAATTCATAATCCCTGACTTAATGATGTACTCAAATCACAGCAAACCACACTTACGGACCATCCTTTTATTCTAGTTTTATCTTAACATTTGTAAAATGTGTGGTTCAAACCCACCAGCCACTCCTCGGAAGGAAGATGGGCAATCTACTTCCATAGTGATGCTGTCTTGGAAACCCAAGGAGGGGTTGCTATCAGTCGGATCTGACTCGACAGCATATAACAACATTGCATACAATGTTGTAGCACATAATTTCCTGATGCTATCAATCTCATGTCAACTTCCAATATAAAGATCAGATGGATAAGGACAGGGATAATAAAAGTCAATAATAATGAAAACTGAAAAAAAAAAAGAACGAGGTAATCACCTAAATGTCAGAACTGACTTACAATGGAGTCTTCAGACAGAACGTCATTGTAAGCCAGGGACTACCTGTACTTTTTAAATTTTCAAAGACATATTATTCCTCAAAATAAAAGAATGAGAATTGTTATTGTTATTTTTCACAAGTCCTATTTGGATCTGTCTGTCAAAAAAATTTTCCTAGAATTTACTATTTCAATTCTACTCTAAGATTATGGTTAAACATTCTTAAAGTGATCTCCCACATTACCCTGTGACTTTGTCATACTTCAGTGGATTGTGCGTTGCTGTGAGGCTGGAAGCTATGCCACTGGCATTTCTAATACCAGTAGGGTCACCCGAGGTGGACAGGTTACAGTGGAGCCTCCAGACTAAGACAGAATAGGAAGAAGGATGTGGCCTCTGAAAACACTGACCACCAAAAACCTTATGAATAGCAGTCAAACAATGTTTGATATGGTGCCGGAAGACGAGCCCTTCAGGTTGGAAGGCACTTAAAATAAGACTAAAGAAGAGCTGGCTCCTCAAAGTAGAGTTGACTTTAATGGTATAGACAGAGTAAAGCTTTCAGGACCTTCATTTGCTGATGTGGCATGAATCAACATGAGAATAAACGCTACAAACACCCATTAAAATCAAACATAGAAGTTACAAAGTCTGAATTTAGGAAAATGAGAAATTGTGAAAAATGAAATGGAACACAAAAGACCAACATCCCAAGTACGAATGAGCTGAAATGGACTAGTACTGGCCATTTTTAATCAGCCAATCATATGGCCTACTATGCCAGGAACGACAAATAGAGGGGGAAAGGTATCACATACATCATCATCAAAAAGAACATTTCAAGATCTATCCTGAAGTACAATGCTGTCGGTGATAGGATAATATCCATACACCAAGACCACTTAATATTATTATTCAAATTTACCCCCCAATCACTAGAGCAAAAATGAAGAAATTGAAGATTTTTACCAACTTCTGCAGTTAGAAATTAACCACATGTGCTATGAAGATGCATTTAAAATTACTGATTGAAATGTGAAAGTTGGAAACAAAGCAGCATTGGCAGTTGGAAAATATGGCCTTGATGACAGAAATGATGCCAGAGATTGCATGATAAAATTGTGAAAGACCAATGGCTTATTCACTGCAAATACCTCTTGCCAACAACATAATTAGCGATTATACAAGTGGACTTCACTGGATGGGATTCAGAGAAAACATATCAACTACATCTGTTGAAAGTGATGAAGGAGAAGCTCAATATTATCATCCAGAATAATAAGGCCAAGGGCTGAATGTGGAACAGATCATTAATTGCTCATACACAAGTTTAAACTGAAACTGAAAAAAATTAAACCAAATCCACAGAGCCAAAGGAAGACCTTGAGTATATCCCACATGAATTTAGACATTATCTGAAGAAAAGATTTGATACACTGAACAAATGACTGAACACCAAACGAATTGTAAGATGACATCGAGAACACCATACATGAGAAAGCAAACGTTATTAAAAAGGAAAGAAAGAAACAAAATGAATGTCAGAAGAGATTCTGAAACTAGCTATTGAGAGGAGAGGAGTTAAAGCAAACGGAAGAAATAAAGTAAAAGAGCTGAATAGAAGATTTCAAATGGTGGACGAAGAACACAAAGTAAAGTATTACAATAAAATGCACTAAGACCTGGGGTTAGGTAACCAAAAAAGAAAAATACATACTATTTCTCAAACTGAAAGAACTGAAGAAAAAATTTAAGCCTAGAGTTGTCATACTGAAGGATTCAATGGGCAAAATATTCAACAATACATGAGGAATCAAAAGATGGAAGTAAACAGTCACTAAACCGTGGTGCCTAAGGCATTTGACTGCTAACCAGAAGGCTGGCGGTTCAAACCCACCAGCCACTCCTCGAAAGGAAGGTTGGGCAATCTACTTCCATAGTGATACTGCCTCGGAAACCCAAGGAGGGGTCGCTATGAGTGGGATCTGACTCAGTGGCAGTACTTGCATCATGCATAAACCAAAAAGAATTGGTTGACATTCAATCATTGCAGGAGGTAGTATATGATCAAGAATCAATGGTACTGAAGGAGGAAGTCTAAGCTGCACTTAAGGAACCAGCAAAAGGCAAGGCTCCAGGAATTCACAGAATACCCACTGGAGATGTTTCAATAGATACAGCACTAGAGGCACTCACTCATGTAGGCCAAGAAATTTGGAAGACACCTACCTAGCCAACCAACTGAAAGAGATCCGTATTTGTGCCCTTTCCAAAGAAAGGTGATCCAAAAGAATACACAAATTATTGAATAGTGTCACTAATAACACATGCAACTAAAATTTTGCTGAAGATAATTCAAAAGCGTTTACAGTAGCACATCAACAGAGAACTGCCAGAAATTCAAGTTGGATTCAGAAGAGGATGTGAAACAAGGAATATCATTGCTGATGCCAAGTCAATCTTGTCTGAAAGCAAATACTAGAAAGATGTTTACCTGTATTTTATTGACTAGGAAAAGGCATTCAACTGTGTAGATCATAACAAATTATGGGTAACACTGCAAATAATGAAAACTCCAGAACACTTATATTATGCTCATGAGGAATCCATACATGGACCAAGAGGCAGTTGTTCAAACAGAACAAGGGGACACTGCACGGTTTAAAATAAGGAGAGGTGTGTGTCAAGGTTGTATCCTTTCACCATAATTATTCAATCTGTATGTTGAGTAAATAACCCAAAAAGCTGAACTATATGAAGAAGAATGAGGCATCAGGACTGAAGGAAGACTCATGGACAGCATGCAATATGCAGATGACACAACCTTGCTTGCTGAAAGTGAAGATGACTTGAAGCACTTACCGATGAAGATCAGTATGGATTACATCTCACTACTAAACCAAAAAGAAGTATCACGATAAAAGGAGAAGAGATTGAAGGTGTCAAGGATTTCATTTTACTTGGATTCACAATCAACTGTTCATGGAAGCAGCAGTCAAGAAGTCAAAGGACATACTGCATTAGGCGAATCTGCTGCGAAAGACCACTTTAAAGTGTTAAAATGCAAGGATGTCACTTGGAGCACTAAGATGCACCTGACCCAAGTCTTGGTGTTTTCAATAGCCTTACATGGATGTGAAACCTGGGCAATGAATAAGGAATACTGAAAAACTGTTGCATTTGAATTGTGGTGCTGGCAAAGAATATTGAATATACCACGGACTGCCAGAAGAATAAACAAATCTGTCTTGGAATTACAGCCAAAATGGTGCTTGGAAGGGAGGATGGCAAGACTAGGACATCATTCTTGGTAAAGTAGAGGGTAAGTGAGAATAAAGACGGCATTCAACAAGATGGACTGACACAATGGCTGCAACAATTGGCTCAAACACAGTAACAACTGTTAAGATAGTGCAGGACCAAGACAGTTGCTTAGCCCAGGCTGTCTCCATTTTTACTTGCCAAGTAAAACTAAAGAAAACTGCTTGGGGGGTTGGGGGCGCACAGGACCAAGCAATGTTTTGTTATGTTGTACACGGGGTTGCTATGAGTTGAAACTGAATTGACAGCACTTAACAACAAACATGAACACATCACACCTCATAGAGTGATGGAAACAAGCCTCTTCAGCAATATAAAGGTACTAAAAATATTATGTAAAATATGCATTATAACTTATTGTTGTTTGCCGTCGAGTCGGCCCCGACTCATAGCGACCCCTCCTTGGGTTTCCGAGGCAGTATCACTACGGAAGTAGGATTGCCCAACCTTCCTTCCGAAGAGTGGCTGGTGGGTTTGAACCGCCAGCCGTCTGGTTAGCAGGCAAGTGTCTTAGCCACTATTATAGTTACTAAAAATCTGTGTAGTCAAATTTATTAGCAGTCTACCAGGTCATATTTTCTAAACCTTAAATTCTGAAGTCTCATCAATGAAGTGAAAAGTTATGATCTTAATCATCTTACAATTAAATAATCTATTCATACATTATGCTAAGGCTTAAATTTGCTTAAAAAAAATACAAAGTATATTTCTCCTTTGGGAAAAAAGAGTAAGGAGAAAGCATAAAGACATTTTCTTTCTGAGGCTTTACACAAGGAGCTGGGTCCTTAGGACCAGAGGAGCACAAATTCTATTACTCAACCCATAGAAAGACAAGTAGTACTGACTGATTTTTTTTTTTAAATGCATGTAAAAGTCAAAAGAAGCTGATTTGTTTATTTTTAACTGAGAGGCTTGGTGCTTGGAAGGGAGGATGGCAAGACTAGGACATCATTCTTGGTAAAGTAGAGGGTAAGTGAGAAGGCAGGTTAGAACCATAAAGATTAATTTCAGTAGTGGAAAATGTCATTTTAACCAAAAGTGCCACACACCAGTTGGATATAAGCTTTCCTTATTTTTTTAAGAAAATCTATTTCTCCAATTGGTTACACATATAAGTGAAGAGGATATCTGAAACAACACTAAAATTATAAAATCCTGTTGAAGACAATATTGCTTGGATTATGTGAAGATGCAAAGATGGAAACAGGAGCATATTTCCAATTTAATTAACAAGGTAGCTGGAGATAAAGAAAGTGAAGGAATTCCATCACTCTTCCCATCTCCCAAATCTAGGTACTCCTTTGAGCAGCTGAACAAGTAAGAGAGAGTATAACATTTTTTTTTCATAAGACTAAAAAACCTCTAAGGTCTTTTCCCTTTTGATTTTAAAATTCTCTAATAATAACTTTACAGAATCCAAAAAAAGTCTAAGAAGAAATACAAACAAATCTAATTTCCTTGTGGTTTCAAATAATTAGGTGTGTTAAAATAAGCAACAAAAATAAATACAAAGTTCAAAGTAAAGTGAAGATTGTCTGAACTTGTTAAATGAAGTTAGAAAGAAAAGGATGAGCTTTTAATATTTTTAATTTCAATTCTTAAGTTTCAATCATTTTTCTTTAGAACAGTTTCAATGATGAACAATAATAGCAAGGCAGACATTTCTTATTACAAATTTACATGTGAAATTATCTATAAATGGAAAGTTTTTCATATTTTTCTACAAATAAAAAATTCCAGAGGCAAATGATGAAAGTTAAGAAAAATGCAGCTTAATGACCTACAAAATTAAATATAAAACAAGAGAGATTTAACATAGTTTATTGTTATAGAAGTATTGATTAATTTCACAAAATAAACAACTTCAACTTTGAAACTATTTAAAACATTTTTCAATTTTAACATCAAGTTCAATCGGGCTAAATATGGATTCTGGAGTAGGACATAATAGAATCAAATGGAAATCACAAAGTAAATACACACAATCAACTAGAGTCAATGACAATGGCTTAATATTGATGCTAACTCATACCAAATTCTCTTTTTCTTGTATGGCAATTTCTTCTGAAATTATTTCTCTGAGTGACACTTTCTTATTTTGTGTATTCCAATGATCCAATAAGGGTAGCATTTCAGATGCTGCTACAGTCTTCAGTAATTTTTGGCCTGTTCTCTGAGTTGATTTTTGCTCAGGATTATTAAGACCAATATGCTCAACCACAGAAGGATCTATAAAGCAATATAAATAGTGTCATCATCTAAATAATAAATGTGCATGTTAAGCAGCATTATTCACTCTGTTGCATCTGCTTTAAAGAGACCTAGGAAACATGGCATTTGAAACTTTTCAAGCTTATGAATATAACACGACTGAAATGTCTAAATATATCTTCTTCACATGATTCAAAGTAAAAAGTAATATACATACATGTGGGAATATTGCAAAGTGAGCAATAACTTCAGTATAACTGTATATCCCACTCTATTTCCTATCACATCAACACACAGAAAATGATGAGAAGTCTACATAAGATTTATATATATATCATATACATAGCACTTTCATAAATATATAATGTTGCTGTTAGCTGCCATCAACTTGGTTCCAAGTCATGGGGACCTCCTATGTGCAGAGCAGAATGGTACTCCACAGAGTTTTCAAGGTGTGACCTTTCAAGAAGCAGATCGCCAGGCCTATCTTTCAAGGTGTCTTGGGACAGGTCAAAACTCCAACCTTTCAGTTAGTAGCCAAGCAGTTAACCCTTTGCAATACCCAAGGACTCTCTACATCATGTATATATAAAATGTCTATATCGGGTACTCAAAATTAAGAGACTGCCACCAGATGTTGATGACCAGTTAGAGGAGCTCCACACATTAGTGACCCCAGCCCCTATCCAGCCAATCCAAAGATGGAGCGAATCAATATTTTGGCAAACCTGTGACACACTAGAGGCACAAAATTAATAGTAAGCATATGATATTCGTTATAAGAAAGGAACTAAACATTTTAAGTACAGAATAACAGGATTTAATGTGTAATACTTAAAACATTTCTAAGGGATATCAAGGAGCTCTGGTGGGATAGTGCCTAAGGCATCTGGCTGCTAACCAGAAGGCTGGTGGTTCAAACTCACCAACCACTCCTTGGAAGGAAGATTGGGCAATCTATTTCCATAGTGATATTGCCTCAGAAACCCAAGGAGGGGCCACTGTGAGTCGGATCCAACTCAACGACAGAGCATTTGGGTTTTTTTAAAAGGGATATCAACCCATTCTGACATATTCCTTTGCCTGCCAGGTAGATACTGGCATACATGTAATAACCCTGATGCCCTTTGACCACATCTCTCTCTCAAACAGATTTAGCTGCTGAAGGTATGGCACGAGCATAAATCTGAACTAAAGCAAATCCTAAGAAACTTCAACCTGAAGATCCTTGCCTTGTCCCAGTGTGGAAGGACAAAAGGGTCATCTAGAGTAACTCAGATTACTACAGTAACCATTAAAGACATGGATAAGTTTTCTGAAATAAAATATTTTCAAGTTGGCAGGATATACTAGGAAAGTAGGCTGATTTTTGTGTCTTAGTAATACTAATATCAATAAAAATTTTGAATAACCAAGTAGTGTTTTAACAATTCTCTCTATTAAACACCTATACATCTTACTGTTCTCTAGACAGTTCTCTTTCATGAAGACCACAACCTTAACAGGAGACATCTTGACTATCTGTATTAGAAGACATCTTAGGTGTTTCACAGCACAAATGAAAGTTAAATATATGTTACAGAGGCTGCATTCCTCCTTTTAAGTTTTATTTCTTTTTGTGACTTGGATGAAAGTTTACAGAACAAATTGGTCTTCCATTCAACAATTCATACCCTTTTTTGTGTGACATTCATTGCAATCCCCAAAATATTAACAGCTCTCTTCTCACTTCTTCCCTGTGTTTATCATTTCCCTTCATCCTTCTATCCTATACCTTCCTGCCTTCTCAGTTTTATCCTTGGGTAAATATCACCCTTTAGATCTCCTATGGTTGATTATTCTAATGTTAACCTTATAAACATTTCTATTCTTGGGCTGAGAGTTGAGCCATGGGGGTGAGTTCAGTTCCAGGATTGAAGGGTGTCGAAAAGCCATAGTCTCAGGGGTTCCGCCAGTCTTTTTCAGACCAAATAAGCCAATGATTTTTATGATTTTGAGTTTTGATAAACATTTTTCTCCCACTCTATCTTGGACCTCCTGTTATGATCCCTTTCAGAGTAGTTAGCAGTGGTAGCCAGGCACCATCTAGTTCTTCTGGTCTCAGGGTCATGGAGGCTGGGGTTCACATGGTCCATTAGTCCTTTAGATTTATTATTTCCTTGTGTCTTTGATTTTCTTCACTCTTCTTTACTCTGGACGGGGAAAGACCAACAGTTGCACCTTAGATGGCTGCTCACAAGCTTTTAAGACCCTAGTCGCTACTTAAAGTAGGATGTGGAACACTGGCTTTGTGGATTATGTTGGGCCAATTGACCTTAGTGTCCCCTGAGACAATGGTTAGGAGCTACCAGACCCAACAACACAATCCCTCAAGGTGTTCAGTTATGGCTAAGTTTTTATAACTTTACCCCCTGTATACTCTCTTATATTCGTGATATATTTGCAGCACATATAAATACATATGTAGAAATATCCTGTCAAACCTGTATCCGTTTGTGAGTGTAGTCTTATTCACCTTCCCATCACTGTTCAGCTAGTTGTTGTTGTTATGTGCTGTCAAGTCAGACCCGACTCATAGCGACCCGTCCTTGGGTTTCCAAGGCAGTATCACTATAGAAGTAGACTGCCCAATCTTCCTTCCAAGGAGTGGCTGGTGGGTTTGAACCACCAGCCTTCTGGTTAGCAGTCAAGTGCCAGGCACTAATAGCTTACTGTTATTACTGTTATTGCAGGATTGTGTATGTAAGAGTATTTACCTTTGTTGCCTTTACCTCTTGTGCTCTTCCAATGTATTCCTTTGTGTTGATCATTTTGTGCTGCCTTCCCCCTTATTGTAAACTGCCTTTCCCTTCACCCAAGTTAATATGTGTCTACCCTCTAGTTAGTGATTTATTCTCCCTGACCTTCCCATGCCTGGTAACCTTCAAAGAACGACTCTTCCTGTATATAGACTTTTTTTGACTTTTCACTACAGTAGTCTCATGCAATATTTGTCCTTTTGCAATTGACTGATTTCACTCAGCATAATATCCTCTAAGTGCATCCATATTATGAGGTGTTTCATACATTCATCGTTATTCCTTAACGTTGTGTAGTACTCCATTGTGTGTATTTACCATAGTTTATCCATTCATCCATTAGGTTGTATTCATCTTTTTGCTATTATGAATAATGCTGCACTGAACATGGGTGTGCATATATATGCTAGTGTCCCAGCTCCTATTTTTCTAGTGTGTGTGTGTGTGTGTGTATATATATATATGTATATATATATATATATATACATATATATATACATACACACATACCAGTGAAATTGCTAGGTCATATGGTATTTTTTATTTCCAATTTTTTAAGTAAACACCGTATCATTTTCCACATTTTACAGTCCTACTAGTAGCATATGAGGGTTCCAATCTTTCCATAAGCTCTCTAGTATTTGTTGTTTTCTGTTTTGTTTTTAATTGGCTATTAATACTGGAATGAGATGATATTGTTATTTTGATTTGCATCTCTATAATGGCTAATAATCGTGAGTATTTCTTCATGTTTGTTAGCTGCCTGAATGTCTTCTTTGGTTAAGTGTCTATTTCTGTCCTCTGTTCTTCTTTTAATCAGATTATCTGCCGCGACATCTTGTGATGCTGAGGTGTTGAAGTTTTCCATAAATTTTAGAGATTAGTCCCTTGTCCAATATGTCATTTGCAAAAAATCTTCCCATTCTGTAGGCACTCTTTTTATTCTTTTGGTGAAGTCTTTTGATGTGCATAAACATTTTATTTTTCGGAGGTTCCAGTCATCTAGTTGTGCTTCCATTTGTGCATTTTTATTTACGCTTGAAAATGTATTTATGCTATATGTTAAAAGCCACTGTTTGCCCCTATTTTTTTCTTTCATGATATTTACAGTTTTAGGTTTTACATTTAGGTCTTTGATCCATCTTAAGTTAGTTTTTGTATATGGTGAAAGATGTGGATCTTGTTTCATATTTTGCAAATGGATATACAGTTTTGCCAGCACAATTTATTAAAAAACTATCTATCCCCCAATTTAATTTTGTCCCTTTGTCAAAGATCAGCTATCCACAGATGGATGGATTTACCCCTGGGATCTCAATTCTGTTCTATTGGTCTATATGTCTGTCATTTTACCAATACTATGATGTTTTGACTACTGTGGCTGTACAGTAAGTTTGGAGATTGGGGAGCATGAGGCCTCTCAATTTGTTCTTCTTTAGTAGTGCTTTGCTTATCCAGGTCTCTTTCCATTCCATATAAAGTTGGTGATCAGTTTTTCCATCTCTTTAAAGAATGCTGATGGAATCTAGATCAGGATTGCATTATGTCTATAGGTCACTTTGGGTAGTATTGGCATTTTCACAATGTTGAGTCCTCCAATCCACAAACATGGTATATTTTTCCATTTATGGAGGTTTCTTTTGGTCTCTTGTAGTAGTTTTTTCTAATTTTCTTTGTACAGGTCTTTTGTATTTCTGATTGACTTTTCTATGTTCATCTTGTACCCTGACATGTTGCAGAATCCTTTTAGTTCCAGTAGTTTTCTTGTTGAGTTTCTAGGACTTTCTATGTATAGGATCATATCATCTGCAAACAGAGATAGTTTTACATCTTCTTTGTCAATTTGATACCTTTTATTTCCCTTTCTTATTGCTCTGGCTAGGACTCACAATACAATATTAAAAGGACTGGTGATGAAAGGCAGCCTAGTCGGGTCCGTGCTCACAAAAAGAATGTTTTCAATGTTCTTCACTGAAATAAAGTTGGCCGCTGGTTTTGTGTATATGCCCTTAATTATGTAGAGGAATTTCTCTTCTATTCCTATTTCGCTGAGCCATTTTATCTAAAATACGTGTTGGATTCTGTCGAATGCCTTTTATGCAACAACTGATATGATTGAGTGGTTTTATCCCTTTGTTTTATTTATGTAGTAGATTATGTTGATTATTATTCTAACACTGAATCATCCTTGCATACCTGGTATGAATACTACTTGGTATT